CACGCTCCGCGCAGCCTCGGGGGAGGAGGGGCTGGAGCAGTTCTGAGAAGCCTCACTGCAGACACACGAGGCCAGCAAGGCATGACCGGCAGGGCAGGAGGGGGATGCTGGTGCACGGGCGGGGTGCGGAACCTGGAGGCAGACGGATCTGGAGTAAATCTTGGCTTCTTCAATACTGACTTTGCCATTGGTTGGCCATGTCTTGGACAAGTTAGGTAACTTCTTGGAGCCTCAGTTTCCTCCTGTGAAGGGCTGGCTTGTGGCCTGGGACAGAACAGGGACCACATGGATGGGGGCATCTTGCAGGAATGTGGTCCACCCTCCTACCCTGCTAGGAATCTCCTCCGCAGCACCCCTGATGGCTGTAGCCAGCCTGTACTAGGATGACAGGAACTCACTGTCTCGTGATGGGAGGCTAGTTCATTTTGAAGGCAGGGGTGAAGGGGAAGCATGGTATATAGAAAAATCTGATATATAGCTAAAATCTGGGCTAGTTGTGTGACCTTGGAAAAAGCACTTTGTCTTTCTGATCCTCAGTTTCTTTATCAGTAAAATGGAGACGTTATAACCTTGACTGTAGGGTGAGGAGTTGAGATAAAATGTGTAGAAGGCCTACTCTGGGACCTGGTACACAGTTGGTACTCAATAAATGTTAGGTAAAAATAAAAGTACCATTCTTAAGTAGTTTCAAGAAGCACTTATTAAACCCCAATTGCACTCAGAGCAGCAGAGGTAATACAATATAAATGTAGTATTGCCTGGATTCTGGTGGACTAATGAAGTCCACCAGAGTCAAATGAAGAGGAATAAAGTCATCTGAGGTGTTTGAATCTCTCTCCCAAGCCCCAGGGTCAGAAATGGCCCCAGTCCCTACCTGGCAGGAGTGTATAATCTCGTGCTGTGAGTTGAGTACCCTGACATTTTATAGTATGATATTAGGAAATGGGCATCAAGTAAATGAAGTGGTATTTAGAAGACAGGAGCCTCATGTTCGTTGTCCCTGTGGAAGGGATGGGCTGGCGGCTCCTATGATTTCGCACAGCCATCCAAGGCAGGGCACTTGCCACGTCATCAAGATGAACTGTTCCATCTATGTGAATGTCTCTTTCTAGCAGTCCAGGGCTCAGATTTAAAAAACACACACACAAACTTTTCTGATTATAAAAATAGTGTATTCTCATTGTAGAAATTTTAGGGAAAAAAGAACAATAAGAAAAACATTCCCCTACCTTGGGTTATTTGATATATTTTTACAGTCTCTCTTTTTTTTTTTTTTG